CAAAAGCTCACACACACAGAGCAACAGCACCCACACACCACACTCACCCCATGCCGGTACGGCCGTTTTCAGCATGTACTTGCTGAAGTAGGTGTTCATGACCCGGACAAAGAGCAGGTACTGCAGGATCCCCTCCATCAGCATCCACATGAAGGAGACCATGACCAGGTAATGCAGCAGCGCCGCCACAGCGATACAGCCACTGTGAGACGAGGTCTGGTGGATCCCAGCCAGAAACGTCACCCAGGACAGGAGCAGTGCCAGGGACAGGTGGAACAGGGTCTGTTGAGGACGACCTTGGCGAAGTTTTCTGTTTAGAGTAAGTTTCGTTTTTATTAAGAATTCAACATAAATTGTTATAGATAATAATATGTTATCACTTACAACAACACACATGGGTCATATTTAGGTCATCTAGGACGGGAGCAGTGCCAGGGACAGCGAGCGAGGCGAAGTTTTCTGTTTTGAGTAAGCTTGGTTTTATTAAGAGTTAAACACAAAAAGTTTATATGTTATCACCTACAACAACACAAATGGGCCATATTTATGTCACCCAGGACAGGAGAAGTGTCAGGTACAGGCATAGATATACATGGGTACAGGTGGAACAGGGTCTGTTGCGGACGACCTTGACGAAGTTTTCTGTTTTGGGTAAGTTTCATTATATTAAGAGTTCAACATAAATAGGTAATTTAATACATATTATGTTATTCGGCGACGTTTTCTGTTAGGAGTGAGTTTTGTTTTAGAAAGACTTTTACGGTACTTACAACACAAATATGTCATTTTTATGCTATCTAGGACGGGAGAAGTGTCAGAGACAGGTGGAACAGGGTCTGTTGAGGACGACCTAGGCGAAGTTTTCTGATTTGAGTAAGTTTCGTTTTTTAGTTAAGAGATTTACAGTACTTTCAACATAATTAGGTCTTATGCTACCGAGGACAGGGACATGAGAAGATGGTGGAACAGGGTCTGTTGAGGATGACCTTTGCGAAGTTTTTTTTGGAGTAAGTTTAGTTTTATTAAGAGTTCAACACAAACAGGCAATATGTCTTCGGGTGAAGTGTTCTGTTTGGAGTGACTTTTGTTTTAGAAAGACTTTTACGGTACTTACAACACAAATAGGTCATATTTATGTCATCTAAGTCGAGAGAAGTGTCAGGGACAGGTGGAACAGGGTCTGTTGAGGACGACCTTGGCGAAGTTTTCTCTTTTAAGTAAGTTTTTTCTTAGTAAACGTTTTACAGTGCTCCCAACATAAATAGGTCATATGCTACCCAGGACAGGGACAGGAGAAGAGGGTCTTTTGTGGATGACCTTGGCGAAGTTTTCTGTTTTGAGTAAGTTTCGTTTTAGTAAAGAGTTTTACATAACTTTCAACACAAATAGGTCATATTATGTTACCCAGAAGAGGGACAGGAGAAGAGGGTGGAAGAGTGTCTATTGTGGGTGACCTTGGCGAAGTTTTCTGTTTTGAGTAAGTTTCATTTTTATTAAGCGTTCAACACACATAGATAATATGTTACCGGACGAAGTGTTCTGTTTTGAGTGAGTTTGGTTTTAGAAAGACTTTTAAGGTACTTATAACACACATAGATCATATGTCATCTAGGACAGGAAAAGAATAAGGGATTGGTGGAAAATAGTCTGTAGCAGAAGACCTTGGCGACCTTTTCTGTTTAGAGTAAGATTAATTTTATTGAAAGTTTTATAGTACTTTCAACACTAATAGGTCATATGTTACCCAGAGAAGGAGAAGAGAATGGAAAAGGGTCTTTTGTGGAGGAACTTGACTAAGTTTTCTGTATTGAATACCTTTAGTTTTAAAGTTTTTAGTAACAATTTTACGGTGCTTTCAACACAAAGTGGTCTAATGTCACCTCGACAGGAGAAGTATCAGAGGAAAGAACAAGAGGGTGTGTTGCGGATGAACTTGGCGAAGTTTTCTGTTATGGGTAAGTTTAGTTTTAATTACAGTTTTACGGTTCTAACAAAACACTTAGGTCGTATTACTGCCGAAGATTAGAGTTATCACTGGAGAGTAACATTCAAAGAAAAGAAAGGTTTGTTTGTTTTGTTTGTTTAGTATAGGGTTTTACGGCGCTCGCAACTGCATAAGGTCATATGAGCGCGCAGGACACACCTAATACTTTTTCGTTGGTAGGAAATTTTAAATTTTGCCCGGGTGGCGGCCGAAGCCTACTCTTATAGATTTTAGACCACCAAGGGATCTTTAACGTGCGCAACTTGCACACGGGCCCTCCGAGATTTTTCGCCCTTGTCCTTCAAGAAGATCAGGGGTGTGGCAGAAAGACAGCAGTTAGGAGGAGCCAAGGAGTAGCAGTAGAAAGGCTGCAGAAAGAGTCAGGAGCCCAGAGGAGGGGGCAAAGGAAGTGAGGGGGTGGGGGCAGAAAGTGGAAATGAAAGCAGACAACAGAACATTGTTAGAGATCAGGAAAGGATATGAAAGGAGACAATTTTAGAGAAGAAAATTTTTTGGTCGCTACCCGGAATCGAACCCGGGACCTTTGAATGAGAGGCCAACACCTTAACCTCTAGGCCACGAGAGCCCCCGAAAAGAAAGGGGAGGGATCTGGGTCTATAGATGTTTGATAGGAATGAAGTAGAAAAACCACACGAAAGCACAGTCCGTACTGTTTTGAATAAAGAGAAGTTCATTGACATGTTCAGAGGCGTTTTGTAGAAGAAAACAGTAAGGCAGTTTCAATATTTTTTTCAATTGCAGGTGTTTTAAGCCCCTACCGACACGATTCAAATCATTCAGGAGGCGGGCTGCTCCGACCCAATTTGACAGGGTCAACCCGGGCTGAGAAGGAATAGAACATCGCAGCACACGCATGGAGATGTTCGATGAAAATTCTCCGAACTCGGGAATCAAAGTCATGTCTTTTATGTGCGGCGGCGAAGCGCCTAACCGCTACTCTATAGACGCGAGTAGAGTGACATAAAGGCCAAAATCAAACAAACAAACAAACAAACAAACAAACAAACACGCAAACAAAAAGCAAGGCCCAAAGTTGTAGGATCAACTAGTGGAATCCTCCATTCGCCCGCTTTGGTGAGTGCAAGACATGCCATGCTCGCACCATTCTAGTTATATGAACTATTTCGTTTCTGCTGGTTTTGTGCAAATTAGCATACTGGCATTTGATCATGATGTCTAGAATAGATCCTCCTCCTCCTCCTTCTCCTCCCTCTCCTCCACTCCGCCCTCCTTCGCCTGATCATCATCATCATCATCATCATCATCATCATCATCATCATCATCATCATGAAAAAGAACGGGAGGACAAAATTAACAGCAACACCACCACCACCACCACCACCACCACCAGCAACAACAGCAGAAACAACTACAACATCAACAAAAAACAACAACAACAACAACAAAAATAAAAATAAAATAACAACAACAACAACAACAACAACGACAACAAAAATCACAACAACAAGAATACCTTACTTTTCTCGTCTGTGTGACTTACTTTATCATCAGGAACGAGAGAATGGAGAGAGAGAGCCCAACAATGGAGAGGCTGAGTCCTATTATGGTGATTATGCTTAGCGCCAACGTATGTTCGTTGTCCAAGGTTTCTTGGTCGTAGTAGCTCTGTGAAAGGTGACACAATAAACATGGAAGGCAAGTCGAAGAAGAAATTAAATTACAGAGCACAAATTACGGAATAAGCAGAGTGTGGGAGTGCGAGTGTTTGTGTGTGTTGGAGGAGGGGGCGGAAGTATGAATGTATGTACTTAGTGTATGTGTATGTTTTTGTGAGTATGTATGTGGGTGAAAGAGTTATAGGATATACGAAAGAGCTGAGAGGGATAGATAGATAGATTTATAGATAGATAGATAGATAGATAGATATATAGATAGATAGATAGATAGATAGATAGATAGATAGATAGATA